CTTTCAGGTGTATATATTTATTTCCCGATCTTTATCACGCATCGAACAATAATCGTCGTAATAAAATCGATTCATGGACGATCACCACACAATTAATATGATATCCTCAATTACAAATTAAAAATTTCACTTTTACACGATACTAATTTTTACAAGAGAAGAAAAACGCGATCAGATCCGGCAGAAAAAGGAAGAAAGAATCGTCGCGTGACTCGCTCGCGTTTAATTAACACGGCCAAGGAGAAAACTTTCGAGCCAGGGGGGGGTAATTGAATCAACAAGATTTCCCCCCTCCCTCATCCATGACTATGACGGTTGAAATTGCTTTCCTCGACTCAAATGTGGTGAAAACTCGCGTGGACCGCGCGATGAAAATCGAGAAGAATTTTAATTGCCCCTCGCCTTTCTTTTTGGCCACGAACAAATTGTTCAACTCGGACGGAACGAAGAGGGGCTCGTCTCTCTTTTTCAATTCTTCGCTCCACGTTAGAAAGAGCCGTTAGCACGAGCTCTAGGATCGAATATTCTTCTTCGAAAAACTGCAGTTTGATCGTATTCTCCTCTTTGTTCTCTCCCTCCTTTTTCCTTTTTTAATCCCTCCATCCCTCCTTCCTTCCCCTCTTCCTCTTTTTTTTTTAAAGCGCATCTCCCTCGATGGTTTCGTGTTTTGAATAAAATACGCGAGCCGAACTCGGTCGGTATTATCTGCCTCTCTTCTGGAAGAACGCACGTCTCTTTCCAGTCGGACGGGTTTATCTCCTGTCCGCTTATTAACCGCCATTTCCACTGTACGCGCGTTCAGCGTGCGCCGCTACTTAACTATACCGGGTGTCACAGGGAAGATAGAGCCGTCAACCTAGAGCTCGGGTTGGGACGTTAACTCGATCGGTTAAATCGGATGCGTCGGATTGGACGATCTTGCTTCTATTTTTTTTTTTTTATATATATTTGCGAGAGAGAGGAATACAACGGGGAGAGGGAATTATTTGTTGCAATTGTTCAACGATTCGAAAGTGATTAATCGAAAAAGGGATATTACGTTTCTGGATTGATAAGTCGATCGATTTTATCGATCAAAATCCCGTGAAAAATTTACGGGAGAGGATAAAAATCTTGGTTTCGCTCGGGGGAGGGGAAAATTCCGAAACGAAATTTTTCATTTTCGACCGTGTGTACCATGCGCGTGTACATCGTTCCCGGAATATCCAACGCCTTTTAGCCTGGGATCCTGTCATTTTATAGTTGGGAAAATACCCAATTTACCGTGAAAGTTTCAGGCAACGCGGCAACAACTCAATTATTTTCTCTGATGCGGGGGGGG